AAGGAAAATAGGTTTTGTTGAGACATGGGTTACCTCTTAGCCTTAATTAATCCTCCCTTGGCTATTAAGGTTCTTCCCTAAGATTTCCATCTGTTTGATCTCCCTAGGCTTGGTGGTGGGGAGTCCCTTGGGAATTCTTGTGTGGTGATATCTATTGTGGTGTGACTTCTAGGTGCCTCCTATGTCCTTATATATATATCTAGGAGTCCTAATTAGGGTCTGAATGGTATGGGTTTACTAATTCTATTCCTTATAGGACTAAGGGCTTGGTTTAGGGATAAGGGTCCATGGTTCATGGTGGACCATATTAATTAATTAATGGGAATCCTAATCATAATCTGAATAGTAAAGGCCTACTTTCTTCATACCTAATAAATAATTAGGTCTATGACTCCTAATGAGAATCTGATTAGTAAAAAGGTTTACTCACTTTATTCCTAATAGGCTTAAGACTCTAGTTTAGGCAAGGGTCCACGAGCCATGGTGGACCACATTAATTAATTAAAGGAAATCCTAGCCAAATTAAATCCCTTTTTAATTATTATTAACGGAATTAATTAAATAATTAATCCGGGATTGAAGGCCGTAACACGGGGTTTTACATTTACTTTTAGCATTGCATCATCATTCGTCTAAACCGAAAGTAACCTTACAACTTCCAATTGTGCAAAGAAACTAAAACCAATTTAATTTATCCGCTGCGTAACAGCCCCGAGAGGTTGATATTTGCCGAAAATCGGAAAGAGTCTATTCACCCCCCCCCCCCCTCTAGACTCTCGCTCTAACCCTACCTGGACCAACAAGTATTACATTTGAGCATATAAGTATGACATTTACATGCATGATGATATGACCCGATTCAACCCGTATCACTGATAAGGATTCGTGAGACGGTCTCACACAAGTGTGACCCAAACAAGAAATACTAATACTCACCAATCATATAATAAAAGATATAATATACAAAAAAAAATTCATTAAAAATCTATCAAAATTGTTTATATAGTCCATGAGCATTTTTTCAACAACAAAAAAAAAAAAAAATAAAGATGGTAAAAAAAAATAAATTATCTTAGAAATTAACTTTATTTTAATAAAATTTGTAATAGGTGACTGAATATATATGGTAATGTCATTAAAGTCATGAGACTAGATAGGGGTTATCCAATCAAGATGACTATGGATACAAACTTGTAACCTTCGAATCCGAGCCCTCTTAGTTTGACCTGATCAGCTAGATTGGTTTACCTCCTTGTGGTCCTTTGTTGGTTAGGGTTACAGTTTACTCTCGAGAAGTGGTTGCAGGTTTCAATTCCCTCGTCACCAAAAAACGAAGTCTATGAAACTAAATATGGCAAATTATGTTGTACATCCGTATGCACCATGCATGGTGCATACGGATGCAAAAACGACGTCGTTTTGCATCAAAACGCGCGTCCTACTTAAAAAATAAAATAAAATAAAATAACAGTTTCGATTCCCAGCAACAACATTGTGTTGTTCATTTTTTAGTTCATTCATTCTGAATTTTTAGTTATGAAATTATGGATGTGTAGGTATGCAATTCTGGATTTATAGTTATGAAATTATGGATGTGTAATTATGAATGGTGTAGTTATGCAATTCTGGATTTTATAGTTATGAAGTTATGGATGTATAGTTATGCAATTCTGGATGTATAGTTATGCAGTTCTGGATTTGTAGTTATGCAATTCTGGATTTATAGTTATGAAATTATGGATGTGTAGTTATGTAATTCTGGATGTATAGTTATAAAATTATGGATGTGTAATTATGCAATTCTGATATTTTTTTCAAGTTAGACATCAAGACGACGTCGTTTTTGCATCCGTATGCATCATGCACGGTGCATACGGATGCACAGCATAACGATTGACTAAATATAGTCAAATTAAAATTAAATGTGATAATTTCATAAAATAGTGCACGTACGAGAGGCAGGATAGTTGGGATCGGAATGGCACCATCTCTGTCCAAGATTGCAACCAACGATCAGCCCGGCGAAAACTCGCCGTATTTTGACGAATGGAAATCTTACGACAAAGATCCTTTCCATCCCACTAGAAACCCTCGCGGTGTTATTCAAATGGGTCTCGCTGAAAAGCAGGTTCGTATACTATTGAATTATGTGTATATACTAACTTTCTATATCGTTCAATTCTTATTGAATTTTACAATTTACATTATTATTCTCAAGAAATTATATGATATGTACAGAGTAGTCTCACCATCATAATATATATTATGATGTGACATTCAAAAACATTTAGAGTGAGTTAATAATTGAATAAAATAATAAATACTTATTTTTTGTAGAGAAACTAAATTAGATGTGAGCAATCATAACCAAAATGGTCATATCATTAACTTTGTTAACTATAATATTTCAAGTTTCACTTCTCGTGGGAGTTATTTATTACGAAAAAAAGAGAAACATATGATACATGACACTAATGTACAAGTATTTGAAGATTGTTTTACCTCCTTCACCCGTCTTTCAGGTAAGAGACTTATATTTTACTATGAAAGGAACGTTACACTTTTTTCACTAACAAGGATGTACATTGAGTAAATTTTTACCTTTTAACCTTAATGAGGTGTTTGGTAAGATGGAATTACAATTGCATTCCTACCAAACTCCATGGAATTGCAATTCCATGGTTTGGTTGGAAAGAGTTGCAATTCCAGAGAATTACAATTCCTTCCAACCATGGAATTACAATTCATAGGGCCTCCTAGGAATGCAATTCCACACTTTGTGGAATTGTAATTCTAATGTAAATTACTATTTTATCATTCTTATGATTGTTATATTATTATTATACAATGATATTTTAATCTTATTCACCTCTTTCTTTTCAATTCTCAATCATTATATTTCTTCATACAAAATAATGTAATTTAAATTTATATTTTATTCATTTTTCATTGAATTACAATTTCTTTTTCCCTTAATTCATTTCTTCTAACTAAATATCCCGTAATTGATAAAAAATTATGAGATAAATCAACTTAAATTAAAAATTTTAATAAATCGCTTTCACTAAAAGTCAAATTTAAAATCTTAACGTACAATTTAATTACCTTGAGTTGAGTTGTTTTCAAAAGAGACGTTATACTTGCAGAGTTGCAGCCTTAATGGAGCGCTTAATAAAAAGTCTAAGAATAAGCAAGTTGAGTTATACATATAACATATTCGTTCTTTTTATTTAATTTTGGTCCCCATCTTTCACTTTCGCTTTTTTGTCGCGGCGTCGGTACTGTACCCACTACGCCGTCAAGATCGCACTAAAATTTGCGAATCCCAAACTTTTTGCCCGCAAGCATATACGGTTAAATTAGATTGCACGCGACAAGATTAATATGATACATTGATACGGAGTAATTTATAGCGTGGACCAGGATCCACATAACATTGTGGATTCTGAATCAAAATAATATTGTTTTGATATTTAAGCTTTAATAGATTCTTAAATTTTTCGTTTTTCATATTTCAACACAAATTTTAATTTATTCTAGGTACAGAATCAATACTTTTAAATTACAGAATTTCATAACACAAGACACAAAAATTCACAACGACACATACACATGTTATATATTTACTCATTCTAAAATTTGATTCTTACAGACACATAATTTCATAATACAAGACATAAATTCGTAAAATAAGACACACAATATTTGGTGTGTTACATAATTACTAATCTATTTCAGGTACAAAATTCATACGATTAAGGTACAGAATTGCATAATATGAGACACAAAAACGTATAACATAAGACAAATACAACATTTTATATTTACTTTAATTCAAGTACGCAATCAATATTCTTAAGGTACAGAATTGCATAACATAAAATGCAAAAATGCATAGCACAAGACATAAAAATGCATAGCAAAAGGCACAAAAGCGCATGTTATATTCCCTTTAGTTCATCTACAGAATTCATTCGCTTAAAGTATAGAGTTGCATAACATGAGACATAGAAACACATAACACAAGACTTTAAAGGTTGGGCTTATGTTATTGCATAACATTGATCATTCCCGGCCTAGGTTTGAGTAATGATATGAGGTTACGTGCGACTCGATTAGATCATATTATTGAAGAAAAAATCTTGTCAGACACTCACATTTACACAAAAGTCTTAATTCCTAGAATGTTCTTAACACCATCAAATTTAAGACTACCATTCAAGTTTCAAAGAAACAATTTCGTGTGATGCCCTCATATGCAATGGCTATCAACAAATGTTTAATCGTGGTCAATTATATGTAGTTGTGTCTAGAGTTAGTAGTCCACAAGGACTTAAAATTTTCGGAATTAATTACCGAAATAATCTATTAACTATATATACGAAATTATAATTTGGGTATTGACTGTTTTTTTTCCTAATTAAGTCCAACTTTAAAATTTTTTAACTAATTTGATCATCCATTTGTTTACTTGGGACCAAATTGGTAATTTCGCTATAGTCAATGAACCATTTCAATAATTAACTCTTCGATTTAATAAGAGATGAAATGGTATATGTGATGACTGAAATAGTCCCTTGACTATCGTAAAATTACCAATTTGGTTCAGAATAAACGGATGTCTGTCGGCTAAATAAATGAATGACCAAATTAGTTAAAAATTATAAAGTTAAGAAATTTAATTAAGCAAAAAATATAGTCAAGGACCAAATTTTGTTATAGTTAAGAGACCATTTCGATAATTAACTCAAATTTGGTATGTAATGATTCTAGAGAATGTTGTTTATCATTTAAGTGTTCAACAATTTATCATGTATTTGAAATGTGAAATTCATCTATAAATGTTGTTTATTTCTTTATAATTACTAATATTTTTATACTCAAATTGATACACTATATATAGTTGCAACTAAGGTGAAATACTAGTTACGGAGTATTTAATAATGTCTATAGTACATAATAAATTTCAAATAATTAGATAGAAATTATAACACGTGATAAGTTATTTGATAAAAAATTTTTAGTATTATGATTCTAATGGTTATTTTACATCATAAACCCTAAACTAGATTACACAAACCATGGCTTCAACTTGAATGCAGTGAACTGCTGATGTACACAGAACGTACAATACAACTTCACCCTAAACCAAAAGTAACCAGAGCATGACATGCCCTTGGTATAATACAAAGACTTCCCTCAACGAGAATGCACCTTTGGATAACGGTTGCAGATCTCTCTCGTAAACAAAAGATTTCCACATTGAATGTTAAAAACTTGCAAAATAAGAGCATTGTATGTGCTAAACTCTATTTCAGTTTGATTCATGCGATGAAGAAGTCATTTTTGAATTTGAGCAATATCTTATGCTTCTAACTTATGATGTTTTGAATGAAAAATGGAAAAACAAAGTGAACAGAAGTAGTAAAAAGTTGCTGGAAGCCTGGAACCATCCATACATTATCCTTAATGCCACCAACTGCCAAAACTAGGCCACTCAGAGTAATCTCTCCGGTCATTGCTGTATCTGCTCTAACACGTCTTTATAGCCTTCATCTGGATGATATATGAGAGACAAACACTAAGTGCATGAACAATGAGCTCCATGTAAGCAAGCCACCATTATCAATGGATACTGAGTTTAATGTCAGTATGTGAAGTTAAATGAATATGCTCAACTGAATCATACTTGAGCTGGGAAGAAGAAATTCTTTCTGGGATTTTGACAAATTTCCCTCAACTTTTTGAGTTGAACCTAATATTTCACATCTTGGGTTAGTCCATTGAAAATCAGTAATATTTCCCTCAACTGAATCTGCATTGAAAATTTAAAATCTCAATAAAACAAAAATGGTATCCACCATCCAACAACAAAAAATGTTCTCAATAAAACAGTGCAAATTAAATGGTTAAGATTATGTTAGCACAAAAATGCAGCATGTTTACCTATCCCTCCTCTTCACAAGGAATCGATGAAGGACTGATCTTCTTGCCATTAGAAGATCTGAAACAAACAACAACACCATAACAGTGAAGCACAAAATCCATTGATGTTCTTGACAAAAAAGCAACATAGATAGCATTGTTTATTACTGACTACCTAACCATAACATTCTATCAATTAAGTATTTCAACAATTGATTAGCGGGGAAATTACTTGGAACATTAGATTCTGCAGCCAAAGAAACTTGGGGTGAAGATGGTGCAGGACTAGGCTGGATTTCTTCACCAGCAGCCTGAAAAATGCCCGAAGGGCCGTGATGGCTTACTGTGCTAGCCAACCACATTAGTTCCCCGGCTTTGTCGGCCGGGAAATCATCAAACACCACAATCTTGCCGGAGTAGAAAAAAGTGAGTTGAGCAGTCTTGGGCTCTCTTGGTGCTTCTTTGCTGTAAACAGAGTAACACGTGATATCAGAAAAGGCAAGCAAGAAATTAAATGTGAGCATTATTTGTATGGAACAATGAAGGTGTATGTAAAACATGATATGGGACAAACCTAGTACTAACTTCCTCCATGGAACAATGAATCTGACTTGATTTCTCCATGTTGGAGAGGAAATCAATGAGTGTATCTGGGAGGAAGAGTCGGCGACGAACGAAGATGTGTGTTTTAAGGGGATTTTGGTTGAGTTAAAGTTGGAAGCAGAGAGATGTCTCTGTTGCAGAGAGATGTTGCAGGGAAGCAAAACAGATGCCAGCAGATTAATTCTTTTTTTTTTTTTTCTTATGCGGTTTCTATCATTCATTACCCTTTTTACCATCTTATCATTCATTATATGATTATAAGGAAATTGACATTTTTGATCATTAAATGATATTCATAGAGGAGAATCTGATTTTTATTAATTTATTAGTTACCACGGGCATTACATGAATAGTCGGATGTCCAATGTGTATTTTTAAGGGAAAAAGTATAGATAGGCCATTGAATTATTTGGGAGATAGAAATTAAGCCACCAAACTCGAATAAGCTCCAAATTCATCTATGAACTAGGGAAAAAAGTGCAATTAGCATTTTTAGCAGGTTAATAACATGTTTGAATTACCATGTGTATATTTTATTATTGTTATTATTCTACTAAGCATTTGACCCTCTTCCTAGATGTCATATTTTCGTGATTTTATTTCCTGACATGTCGGGTACTGTATTTAAAAATAAATTTTTAAATTTATTTTAATAATTTCAAATAAAATATTTTTATTTTTTTAAAGCAACACACTCTTAAGTTTATTGTGTAAAATTGAAAATTGCATTCAAGTTGGTGTCAAGTAATTTTGTGTGAACTTTGTATTAAATATTATAGTAACTTAAAATACAACTATTTAGTGCCTCTTAAAATGAATGTAATTGTGAAAATACATTTTATAATCACACATTTTAAAACTTTTTTTTTTTTGTGACAAATAAGTTCACTATCTTGTACATATATAAGGGTATTAAAAATTTCTTTTAATTTTCAATTAAGTTGTAGTTATCTTAATGAAGAAGGTAGGATAAGGCTAGGGGGGTTGTTAAGGGTTTACTATATATGTTTACCATTTTGAAGCAGATTAGATTAAGGTTAAAGCACACGAGTTGCAGGATTAATTGATTTACAGACTCATACCTGGGATTCACATATTTTGTCTGACTTGTTTATTCCTGAAGATGTGGAGCGAATAAATATGATCCCTATTAGTCCTGAGTACGAGGACTCATGGTATTGGATGAGTGACCCAAAGGGGACCTATACAGTAAAAAATGTCTATAGGCGTATTGTGGGTGATTATGAGAATAATCCCGCGAATTTTGATAAATGGGTAGCAATGTGGAAAATAAAAGTCCCCCCAAATGGAAATCTTTCTTGTGGAGAGCCATATGTGATATTTTGCCAACAACCCTTAACTTGATAAAGGGTGGAGGTGGACCCAACATGCCCAATGTGTGGTTTAGATCATGAGGATGTGTTGCATGCTTTAGTGCTCTGTGAATATTCTAGACTTGTTTGGAATATAACACAATTACCTATCACTAATATTGTTGCAGACTCTTTTACAACATGGCTAAAAGGGGCTATGGCGGTCTTGACGGAGGAGCAGACCCGGTTAATGGTAGCAATTTTATATTATATTTGGAGAACCCGGAATTCAGCTGTCTGGAAGGGATCAATGATGCGGCCTGCACAATTAGCCAGAGCAGCCACCGTAGCACTGCAGGCGTACGGCGCTGCCCATGTCCGCCAAACCGAGCCGGCAGCGGCATCGGAGCACTTAAACGGTCCAGGGGAGGGCGGTCTACAGTGTTATGTGGACGCAGGTTTCCGGCACGACACGGGCGAGGCTACCTACGGCATGATATTAATAGCGCCAGATGGCTCTTTTGTGGCAGCAAGGAATGGCAAATTACCATTTTGTTTTTCACCACTTATGGCGGAGGCCCAGGCATACAAGGAAGCATTGTCCTGGCTACTTGAACGGAACAACACAACAATAAGTTTACTCACGAATTGCATGGAATTGTCTACGATTATCCGACACCATCACACACCGATCCATTCGTACGTTGGGGTCACAATTGACCAGTGCAGAACGTTCATGTCTTTATTTAATCGTATTACTTTGGATTACATCTCTAGACAGGTTAATTTACATGCGCATACTTTAGCTACGTTAGCATTTACACAGGATCAAGCAATGTACTGGGATGCTATCCCACCTGACGCTATTTCGACTTTGATTAATTAATACAAGATTGACCTTCAAAAAAAGATTAAGGTTAAAGCATGGTGGAATGGTGGACATGCAAAGGTGGTAAGATGCGCGTGGCATGTTGTGGTTTCAATTATGGTGGCTGGTTTCAATTATGTTGGCCTGGCTTCAATTATGTTGGCCTGGATGCAATTATGTTAATTGGTTTCTATTATGTTGCAAAATGCCAAACAATACACTTATACACAAGTATCGATCTGCACTAATTTGGAGCGGTATCTTTTACCTTTCCTAACAACCCCATAATTCCATGTTCTGTTTATGTTTGTATTGCAAAATTATTGAATCTCAAAATATTTGTTCTCGTTTTTAAGGCCAATTATTTGGTCCACACAATTTGTGTGGACAGATACATTTTTTAATATATTAAAAGTACATTATTTTCGTATTAAATGTACATTATTTTTGTATTGAAGGTACATTATATAAAATAATGTACCTTTAATATATTAAAAACGTACTTTCAAAAAATGTATTTTACATACATAAATAATGTACCCTTAGTATAATTAAAAATGTACTTTTTTATTTATACTCCACACAATTATGTAGACCATGGTCCATGCAATAATGATTGTGTTTCTATTTGCTTGGCCTAATTTGACAAAACAATAGTTAGAGAAAGGTACAAGTAAATAAAATTTCTTTTTGCTTTTCTTCCATTTTTATGAAAGAAAATTTCACTTAGATCCTGTTTGTTAAAATAGTTAGCCTATAGGTTAATTTTGACTTATTTGATCACTATTAGCTGTTTGACTTGGTTAAAAAATCAATATAAGTGTTTGATTAACTAGCTTTTTGTAATTTCAAACTGACAAAATTCAAAAAGTTGCTCAAATCAACTTTTTCAATTAGCTTTTGGAAAAAAAAAATACCAAACAACTATCAGCTAATAGCAATGTTGAAAAAATCGCTAGGCGCCCTCTAGGTGCCTGGGGACCACCTAGGGCACCTAGAGTGCCTAGAATGCCTAGGCGGGCGCTTTGAAAGCTGACCGCCTAGTACCTAGGCACGATTTTTGCAACTGGTTAATAACTAATTTACCAAGCACCTTTCTACAATCAGTTAATGTTATCAACTAGTTATACCCTCCAATTAACCAAATCAGCTAACAACTATCAACAATTTACTAAACATGGCCTTAGTTAATGGACTCGATTTCTCAGCCCCTCCCCTCACAATTCTAGTCATACAAACCTCAAAATATATGTTGGGTAGTTGTGAACTGGCCTTTACGACTAGAAAGTTGTGAACTGGCCTTTACGACTAGAAAGTTGTGTAGATGTAAGTTGTATAGAGACTAGAGGGTCAGCCCCTCCCTTCGCAATTCTAGTCATACAAACCTCAAAATATCTGTTAGGTAGTTGTGAACTGGCTTTTACGACTAGAAAGTTGTGTAGATGTAAGTTGTATAGAGAATAGAGGGTCACCTTTAAAGGTAATTCTTGGTTTAAGCTAGTTAGATATGAGCAACTTAAGTTGTTTTATCTTTCATGGTCCTTTGCTAGTTAGAATGAGTAAGGTTACTTTTGAATAGCTATTGTGGACTAAGAGATCCACCTTAATTTTCAACAATTTTGTTGAAATGCTAACAACAAACAAGTACTTGTAGTGGAGTCACTTGACTACTTGAGAGTTAATAAACTTCCAAACGGTCCCTACACGATCGCATGGTTGGTCACATGATCATGACATAAATTGCACACTACAAACTTTACCCTGGATGCTCATATTGCTAAGGTTTGTGAATAGAAACAACACGCATGAGTGTAAACTTTCCTAATGGTGTCATATATAGAAATCCGTGTCACAAAGCAAAAGGTGAAAACTGAAAAGGCCGGAAACCCATCCTTTTATATAATACTAGTATTTGCGCCCGTGCGATGCACGGAATGGATTTGTTGTAATATATTAAGAATATTTGGATCGATATATAATTATTTAAATTAAAACATCAAATATTATATAGTGCAATTGAATGTATGGTTTGGATCATTTATGTGTTTTTATGTTATTAATTGCTCAAATTAATAGCTAATATGTAGATGTATGCATGCGGTGCTGTAACTTTGGAGATTTTATTTATCATTGTTCAGTACTTTTATAAATTAGTCAAATGTGCTCGTTCTCTAGCAACTCAGTTATAAAAATGAATTGATACCCTAATTTATTTGTATGGAAAATATATTTTTTGTCTAGATATATAGCAATTTTTCCATTTAAAAAAACATAAAATCACAAATTGTATTTACATACTATTGAAACCTCTTTGTAGACAACATTGGTAGTAACAACACAATCTTGTCTATCTTCGTCTAGAGCTAACACCTTTAGTCCAAAAGGATGGGTGACTCGGGTGAAAATATATAATGGTAGAATTTCAGTCAATTAGTGATCCTTTTATATTTTCAGTCAATTAGTAATATCAAATTCATTTTCAGCCAATTATTCTTTTTTATTTTTACTTTTTTTAGTCAATTAGTCAATTAGAATATTAGATCCATTGATATTTTTACCTAATTTCTGTTCCAGTTATAATTGATAATGTAGAATATTTTTATTAAAATATTTTCGCTGTATTTTTAATTTAACTTTACTATTGTTTAAAATATGCATTTACTATTGATGATGTAGAATATTATTATTGAAATATTTTGTCCAATTTTTAATTTCTATTCCATTTTTTAATTAAAATACAATGATCTGTCAATTTATTTTTTCATTTCAATTATGGATCATTTTTTATTTGTAGTCAATTATTAATATTCATTTCCTTTTATAATTTCAGTCAATTACTAATACCAGATTCATTTTCAGATAATTATTCTTTTTTATTTTCAGTCAATTAGTTAATTAGAATATCAGATGCAGTGATATTTTTACCTATCTGAACCATTTTTAATTAATGATGTAGAATATTTTTATTGAAATATTTCCGTTCCATTTTTAGTTTACCTTTACTATTGTTTAAAATATGTCTTTACTATTGATGGTGTAGAATATTATTATTGAAATCTTTCCTTTTCATTTTTTATTTACTTTTACTTTATGATGTATGATATTATTATTGAAATATTTCCGTTTCATTTTTGATTTATGTTTCATTGCTTGAAATTGTGAAATATTTATGATATAATTGTGATTTAATTTATTCTACTCTGTAATATTATTGTGAAAAATTAAAATACAATAATCAGACAATTTTCTTTTTCATTTTAGTCAATTATGGATATTTTTTATTTTTAATCAATTATTAATATTCATTTCCTTTTACAATTAACCTAATTTCTGTTTCTTTTTTCATTTTTAATTTTCAGTCAATTATTAGTATTCATTTATTTTCTAATTTAACTAATTTTTGTTCCATTTTTAATTAATGATGATGTAGAGAATTATTGTGAAATATTTATGTTCCCTTTTTAATTTTCCTTTACTATTTACTATTGTTTGAGCGGGAAATCAAGTAAATAGAATTTTGTTTTTAATTATATTATAGAATTATAGATTATAGATTATAGATTATAGATTTTCCAGCAATCCAAACACTCCGATCCCTTAGTATCCCATCAAAAAATGGATAAAGAAAAGTCATTTCATTAATAAAATTAAAAATAATTAAATTAAATCTAATAATGCTATATTTATTTGTAACTGTATATTAATTTCATTTTGAAATCATTGGTTCACATATTTGAATTATTTATTTTTTTCTTTAATTATTATAAACAGAAATAATACTGTACTAATTAATTTATGATATTTATCAAATTATATTTTTAAAAAATATAAGATTTACACATGTTATGAGGGGTTAAAATATATTTTAAAATTATTTTTTATTAGTAAGTATTTTTATTTTTAAAATATTTTTCAGCGGCCCACACACTCCCTTAGACTCCCATAAAAAAGTAATAAAGAAAAGTCATTTCATTAAGAAAATTAAAACTAATTAAAGTACATCTAATAATGCTATATTTATTTGTAAATGTATATTAATTTTATTTTGAAATCATTGGTTCACATATTTGAATTATTTATTTTTTCTTTAATTATTATAAACAGAAATGATATTGTAGTAATTAATTTATGATATTTATCAAATTGTATTTTTAAAAATTTAGTGTTTTACCGGCAATTTATATCATGCACCAGGGCGCGCATTGCATTGTGCGCCCTGATGCAATACATAACTGTATAAAAAAATACACATAATTGTATAAATAAATACACATAATTGTATAAACAAACACACATAACTGTATAAAAAAAATACACATAATTGTATAAATAAATACACATAATGATATAAACAAATACACATAATCACGTCAACCCCCTTCCGCGCCTCCCAAAACGACGTCGTTTTGAGAGACGCGGGACGCACAGTGCTGAGCACGCCGTGGTGCAGGGTATAACGATTGTGTTTTACCCGTGCGTTGCACGAATTTATTTTTTTTTATGAATTTAAAATTAAAAATAGAAAACAATGAAAATATATTATAATGTACAATATAATAATATAGTTGGACTTTTATATATTAGGTCAAGTATCTATTTTCATAATATACAAAATTTAAATTTAAATTTTGTATGGTTAATGTTTTTTGGTGTGAGAATTTTTTTTGTATGGTTAATATAATCTCTAATCATGTTGTATATTTAGATAAATTTATTAAAAAAATCACATAATTAAGTTTATTTATTCCTAATTGTATTTCATATATATTATAATTTTAAAAATATGAATACTAACTAAGAGAATTATATTTAGAAATCAATAAAAAAATGTAAATTCTAAATTTTGTATGAATAAATTTAAACTCTAATCGGACACATTTCCTTATATAATTGTATAATACATTGTATATACACATAATATTTATTAATATGTATATAGAAAAATTCTATAATATAATTTCATTAATTATAATTTATATTGATAGATTTATAATTAAAAAAATTACATTTAGAAATTTAAAAAGTAGCATTTAAATATTGTATGATTATTATAATGTATAATTGTATGATTATTATAGTGTATAATTGTATGTATATTTTTTTAAAAAAATTATAAATATTCATGTTTTGTTAATTTTATACTTTCATTTCTTTAATTATATTTCATATTTTATTAATTATAATTTAATGAAATTGTCACAAATATTTCAAGGGAAGAAATCTTATATTTCTCAGTTTCAATAATTATATTAATTATAATTAATAAATATTATTACCATAATAATTTCATTAATTATATTAATTCTAATATTTGTTCTCTTCCAATATTTAAACACATTACCATAATTATCATAATAATTACACGAAAGAAGGAAAGAAAATTATTAGAATAATTACCATTAATAAAAATTAGAAAATTATATTAAAAATTAATTATACATTAAGGTAAGTATAATTTATTTTATGCCAATAATATTATACATTAAGTATATATATAATTGTAGAAAAGGAGCTGAGATATAATTTTAAAAAGTAAATTATTAATTAGATTACCTAATATAATTGTCCTACTAATTGATTCCATACTACTATGTATAATTCATATATTTGAATTTTTTAAAGCTAAATACTTATTAATTACCTTAATAATTAAGATAATTTTTAGTCAATCAATATTCAATAGTACTAAGTGTATTACTTCGAATTTTTATAAATAAGATATAATATTATTAAATCAAAATAATTAAAATAATGTGTCCATATTACAAAAGATTTTATAATAATAATTTTTATTGCATAATTGAATTTGTCAATTATTAAACATTGTTTATGGTAATTATTGTATGACATTTAATACTAAGATTATTAGGTATAATTTTTATAATTAAGGTATAATATTATTAAATCAAAATGATTAAAAATAACGTGTCAACAATATAAAATAAATTATACTTGTCTTAATAATTATTTATTAATATAAATTTACAATTATAAATTTGTATACGAAAAAACATAGAAACTGAAACTTCTGGTTAAAAAAAAAAAAAAAAAAAACTCTCCATTTTTTTTTTGGGTCACCAATGGATTGTATTTATAGGTAGAGAATGTGAGAATTATAAATTAATAATATAAAGTTTCATTTTCCATTTCCGTTTCTATTCAGTCAATTAGAATTTTTTTTATAATTTTCAACCCATTAATAATATACATTTCCTTCTTCAATTTGCATAATTTCAATTTCGTTTTCCAAATTCGTGTTTCATATGTTATTCCCATACATAATATTCACGTTACTATAAATTGATTAGCAATTAATACATTTACAATATACCATAATTATGCAATATTACCAATTGATACATTTTAATTAATTTACATTAAACATATGTTTACCACGGAAGAAAATGGGATATAATTTAAAAAATAAATTATTAATTAGATTACCTAATATAATTGTCCTACTAATTGATTCAATGGTTGTATAATTCACATATTTGTAGACTTTTTAAAGCTAAATACCTATTAATTGCCACAATAATAATTAAGATTATTTTTAGTCAATCAATATTCAATAGTAGTAAAAGTATTACTTTGATTTTTTATAAATAAGATATAATATTATTAAACCGAAATAATTAAAAATAATGTATCCATAGTACAAAAGATTTTATAATGCTAATTTTTATTGCCTAATAGAATTTGTCAATTATTAAACATTATTTATGGTAATTATGCTAAATTTACAACATAAAATAATATCTCAAAATCAACAAAATACTTAAAACTGAAATTACTATACAATAATATTTTCCTCAAAATAACAAATAATAAAACTTTATTCCTTCTCAACTTGTTCATCCCGAATTCCTATCCATGTTCACCTGTATAAATAATTTTACACAAAAACATAATGTAGACAAAAATTAGCATAAGCTAAGTAAGTTTCACTTCACCCCGTAAAATAATGGTTTGAATTTTTTATATTTTCAAAACTCATATAATTTCATACTTTTCCAAAATACATGTAGAGTTATACATTTTCTTGTATGGAGAATAAATAGTTATCTATGGAGAAGTAACCAAACTTTTTGAAATCCACTTTGAAACTGGACTAAAACCTATGTGCACACCCCAGAAGATTCCAAGCCACTGGGTAATATATGATCCAAGTAGTTAGGTTTTCCTACCTACTACCACTCAAACAATTTGGAAACTGAATCATAACTTATGTGATACACTCTCATGTGATTCTAAGCCCAATGAGTAGTAAATAGTCCAAGTAAACATTACTCACTCTTACTTGGACACCACACAATATATTATTTTCTCAAAATTTCATTATTTCTCCACAAATAAATACTTTCTCCACAAAAATACAATTTTCTCCAGAATATATAATTTTCTCCAAATACATTTTTCAAAAAAAAAAAAAAGAAATACAATTTTCTCCACATGATTTGTCCAAAATATAATTATAGTCCATAATCCAGTATTAATACAATTTCACAATACTACTATGTATACAACACCAAAAATTTCAAGCCGTATTTACATAACGCACGAGTTCTACAAATCGAAACTCATTCTCGATATTTCGAGAATCACCACTCACAATATTACTATTTATCGATAAATGTACTTGTGTTCACATGAATAACATATATCATATAATATCACATATAATATCAATACATACAGTACTCGGGGAAAATAATAATTTTGGTGAGTATAAAATCTTACCCTCAAAGGCAAACTTTCTATAATCTTAATAGCATCCTAACCACCTTGATAAGAAACCTGCATGTGAATCAAATAAATCCAATAATAATAATAAGCGAAGCATATTATTCATTGATCATCATCATCATCAATGTCAACAGACTTAGATTTAAACAAAAGAATTTGGAGAGTAGAAACAATTACCTGAAGTAGAGATTAAGTGAATGAGTTTTGCTAGGATTGAAGAAAACGTACGAATATATTAAAAATCATGAAGAACCAGTAGTGTGAGGGAAGATGAATGAATGTCAAAGTCTAAAAATTTGTATTTATAGGTGAAAAATAGTAATTCGAAAGGAAAGTATAATAATTTATTTAAAAAATATAGAAAGTAAAGTAAGTATGGTAATAAAATTATTATTATTATTATTATTATTAGTATATATAGATTAAATTAAATATTAATTGTATATAATGTCTATATATATATCACACAAAATATTTACTATATTTAATTATTTAATTATTCTTTTACTACCTAATTTATATATTATTACTATCAATATATACATCTAATATATATATAATATCACACGTATATATAAATGACTATATATATAAATTTTTATATCTATAATTATTATTTCAATATATATGAATTTACAAAAATGGCCCTAAGTTTTGGGGGGAAAATTGGTTTGGAGGATTTTACTTTTATATATATATATATAGATATATAGATTTATAAAATGCCGAACATGTGCGTCTTTCCAGTTTTTAATGTTTCCCTCTAACGTTACTCCGCAAATTATGCCCGGGAAACGTGTTCACCGTGAATGGTGAACACAAGTCCAAACGACGTCGTTTTTATGCAAAAATAAAAAATAAAAAATAAAAAATCGCGGATGTGAAGTTAACAGCGCGCGTTTGATCAAATTATGAATTTTCTGTTATGAGATTATGAATGTAATGTAAATTCATAATCTCATAACAGAAAATTCATAATCGCATAAAAGTAAAATATGTATTAAATTATGAATTTTCTGTTATAAGATTATGAATGTAATGCAGATTCATAATCTCATAACAGAAAATTCATAATCTCATGGTTCCAAAGTGAATGCGTAGGCATGGTTCCAAAGTGAATGTGCAGGCATAGATTCATAATTTATGAATGTCCGTGATTTCGGACAGGAATGTGTAGGCATGGTTCCAAAGTGAATGTGCAGGAATGAATTCATAATTTATGAATATCCGAAATCATTGCTCACCTCAAATTAAAGTGAAACCGCGAAATGTGAAAATGAAGAAAAAAAATCACGCAATTAATTAAGAAAAAAAAAAAAAAGATAACGGTGTACTAACACAGTTGGAACCGTGTCATAACGATTGACGTTACTCCTGCATGCACTTAATTAGCTTTTTTCTCTTGTTAGTATGTGAGCCCATTTTGTTTTATTTTGCTATAGCCCTCTTTCTTGGATCACATTACAAAATTCCCATTTTCTGCAAATCTCTTTTCTCTAGTTCTCTGAGATACCCATCCTTTTATATGTTCCCACTCAACTAACATTCCCACATTAAAGCTATCCACACGCCTTCAATCATTCACATCCACACATTAATAAATCACAACCACAAAAATTCAGCCAAGCTAAATAATAGATCAGTTCCATATTTTGTTGAATACCACGGAATTATGTGCGCTACCTTTGTCTGTAGAAAACAATAATAAAACATTGATAGGAGATGGTCCAAATGATATATCCAAAATAAATTCTAATCATTTTGACAATTAAATTGACCAACATAAAAAAGGGTTTAATGTATATCATTTGTACACTTACAATCTCTCACTTTAACAATTTAATTGGTATTCTAATCATTTTGACAATTAAATTAGCCAACATAAAAAGAATTTAATGTATATAATTTGTACACTTACAGTTTTCTTTATCTCCAAAGTATCTCTATTGTATGTGCATTGCATATGATAGTTTCTATAATTGAGAACAAAAGCAAAAATCGTTTCAAAAGGTTTAAGGATTGGATTTCTAATTTTCAAAAATGGATTTTGGGTTCTTATTTGTTTACATATGTTTGTGTGTTTGGTTAAGATCAGGGGCGCAGCGAGGATTGGTTGGTGCGGGGGGCCAATCACAATTTTTAGTTTTCACCAATCATATGCATTGGCATAGATCAGAAATACTTTCTAGTGTTCTGAAATTATGAAGTTGTTGCACATGTTCAAAATGTTCAAGTTGCGTTCTCAATTGTAAAATCTCATAATCTTCAAAGTCTTGATGGTAAAACTTCTTTACCAACTTGCAAACGTCATCAATTCTGAATGATCAAGAGCCGTGAGTCGTCAGTCAACAAGGAATCACCATTCCCCAAAGAGCAAACATTTCTTAAATATGGGTAATTCACATATAAACATTTTCAAATCCCTTTAAACAAATTTAAATCAAAAGTGTGGATCAATAAAGAAAAAAATCATTAATTTTAGAAAAATGAATCTGGAAAAAAAAAAAGAATAAGAAATATGTATAAACCATATTTTTTGCTTATACATATTTCAAGAAGAAGAGACTTTGAGCATGTTAGACAATATGAGATTGTGTATGTTCAAGGAGAAGAAATCATATTTTTAGCAATGGTCAGTTGCAAATCAAATAAGATTTTGAAATCTTAGTCTGGAATTTTTTGTTTAGAGAGTGCAAATACTGTGGTAGGATTGTTATGCCGTGGAACCGTGTCCACCTTGCAAGGTGGATACGACTCTATATTCATAATTACTGAATTCTATGTCCATAATTATAAGCTTTATGTTCATAATTTTTAAACTTCATGTTCACAATTATTGAACTCTATATTCACAATTACAAAATTCTATGTTCATAATCACTGAACTCTATATTCATAATTTTTTAACCTTTATATTCACAATTATGAACAATTTTAGAATCGTATCCACTTTATCAGGACACGATTTCACAGCATAATTTGCGACTTTTGTAAAGGGACTAAACAAAATAATATACATGTTATAAATATATATACTTAGTGGACATTATTATGTAACGGACGTAACGGTCCGGTAATTAAGCATACCATTATTGTATCTGTTATACTTGCATTGTATATATACTTACATATGTTGTATTGTTTGGAAGCTAATGAAATGGAGATTACCCCTATACTATTGTCTATCATTCTCCCTTCTCTCTTTACACCTTACTTGCAATGTTAATCAGTTCATCGGTTAGGAGCTAATGGCCACGAGCATCTCACTTTACAACACGTTATCAGCAGCTCAAACTCCGGTGAACGGTAATTTTATGTGTTTTCTATGCACATAATATTTGTTGATATATTTCTCAGATTATATGTTCTAGGTCATCGTCTAGTATGATTATATGATAATTTTTTTTATCCCAATCTGCATAGTTATAATCATACAAATCAAACAGTAATATTCAAGATATTGTGTGTGTATATGTTTTTTATTTATACTGCTTTCGGAATATCAGATCAAAACCGAAATATTCAAGATATTTTTTATTTTGCATATCAATCAGATTGATTTCATAAATTCGTAGGTTTCGCTCATAAATTTTTTTTGATTGCATATTGTGTATATGTCTTATACTACCTGCTATCAAAAAAATATCTACAATCTCAAACCAAAATCAATCAAAACCAAACCTATATTTGTGATCTGCGGAAACCTACCATGATTTGCGATCCGTCGGACGGCGACGGCGATTCTGGACGAGCGGCGACGGTGACACCAGTTCAAACGCCGGCAAGGGTGGCCTTTGGCATTTGAGAGCTTCGTCTTCTAAAATGGAAGTGCGACCGGAGTCCTAGCTATGGCGACTCCGATTTGCCGGCTAGCTATGGCGACTCCGATTTGCCGGATTGGACGAGGCCTGTGCGTCCGGCGGCAATGGCGTCGGAAACTTGTGCGCCGGGCAGCGATGGAAACGACGGCTTGTGCGTCGGATATCGATGGAGGTTGTGTTGAATGCTGCCGCTCTGTGCGTGACCATTCTTTCACTCCAACGGCGGATCGATCAAAGCCGATTGAGGTCGCCGGTTTCATCGGTCCAAACTGTTCTCGCTGCGCCATGGTTTTTGGATGCCGCAGTAGTTTTCTTAATCTCTTTGGGCCAAAAGTACTAGGCAGAAGGGTTTTCTTTCTTTATGTTGCTTCCATGCTTTATAATCTCTTTGGGCCAACACAAATATGGGCAACATCAATTAAACCATCTCTATTTAAGCCCATTTTGATAAATAACCCTTCTCAATATTTATTCACATCCGGCTTTCAATGTTGATAAATCCTCTGGTACAGAGGCCCATAAGGCCAAATTTCTCATAAAAAGATAATTGTTGTTTTCTGACCAAATACTCATGAATTTTACTATCTATGGTCATATATGCATGAATTCTTGCAAATGAAATCAGGCAATGAAATAAAACTGTCTGAGGCATTGTCATTATATTAGCATAATATATAGTTTTATTATTATGCGAATGGCAAATTTTTAAGAGGTGGACCCTCGTTTTTAGTCAGCCTTAATAAGTATATATAGATTTTTTTTGAAAAATCTCGATTTTGACTGATATCACCAAGTGTGAATTTGCCGAGCTTGGTTTCAACTGGAGCAATTACTCATAAGTCCACGAGTAATGAGGCCTTGAAAGCTAAAAGCCCTAATTTTTTTTCCCTCTTTCTCGTCATTCCTGAAAATGACTCCTATGCCTTAGAGAAATCCCTGAAGGATGATTTTAACTAGCAAATTTTCCTAGCCCTTCCTTAGACACAATTTGATTGACTTAACTTGAGATTTCAAGATTTTAAAGTCAGTGACTGATTATAATTTGGCTTTACACAAAATTGTGTCCCAATTTAACTTTGCACCAGTGCCCGAAGCACATAATGTTGCTCAGTCATGCAACGCCAAGAGGGGCCGAGGAAGAGGTAAGGCCAAGGTGACAACAACAATAACTCTCGAAACCAAAATAAACAGTGAAGTGATCCATCTCGACAACCACATTCATATGATCATCATTCTGGCCCAGTAGCAAATATGCTTCAATTGTTGGTGAAAAAGGCACTGATTACGTGCGTGCCACACCCCCGAAGCATTTTGTTGAAACCTAAATAAACATCACAATGTTGAATCCAACCAAGTTGCCTTGCCTGAAGCAAACGCTCTTGTTGGTCATATTGATGACCTACTTTTTCATTCAACATCTTTTCAGTGAGCAATTATTGATAAGGTTTCCTTTGTGGGTTCCGGTAGAGCTTCACTTTTACTCCATCAATTTTTTTATAAATTGAAATGCCTTCATCCGATCAAATATCCTACTTTGATCAAATATCCTTCATCTGATGAGTAGACATATGTTACTCGTTCTTTATGATCTAAAAAGATGGATATGATCTTGTACCTTATGGATAATGCCTATTTTATGGATTATCCTATGAACTTCGTCCATTTTTCGACGATTATTATGACATTAAGCATTAAGGCGGAGTATCAAGTACCTTATGCTCATACCCAAATGGTTTAGCTAATTAATAAAGTTATGGGTTATTACTAAACCATTACTTTTCAACATTTCAATGTGCCGGATACTTGGTGGGGAAATGCTATATTTATGCTAAAATTTTCGGCACACTGCATATCCTTATTCCCCCTTACATCTAATACGTGGTTTTCAAACAAACATTTCCCAAATCTGCGTTTCTATTCTTATGAATGCAGTCCAATCTATTACATAACCACCATAGCGTATCCATCTAAACCTCCATCTATTGTCTCCAATATTTAAAGCCCCTGAGAGAGACGCGATTGATACGCTGACTGCATGAAGATCGATTCACGGCATTAGGGGGAGATATGATCAAAATTGAAATGGAATGCCGAGAAATTTCATGAAATGATCTTCAAAAATTAAATCCACGTACCAATTAGACTGAACTGGAAGTTCAGAAAGAAATCAAACATATCTGCCAAATAATCTTTTTCATAAAAAGAGTGACTAGGTCCCATACATATTCCCCAAAATTGGACCATATATATCTATCAATACTCCTTGACGCCAGAAGCGCGGGAGATTCATTGGGATAGAAAAATAAAGAATCAACTAGATCTAGTAAAGAATTTATGTCACTCTTGAAAATCTTAGAGCTCTTGAAATATTAAAAAGTTATATCTTTAAGACGATCGTCCAGACGACGAGAAAAAGCCCAATAAAATTATTGGTGCACCAAATATTCATAATACTGGGTTGCGGAACAACCAGATATAAATATCCTTGGGAAATGGCTATAATCTGGTTAACTTCGAAAACTACTTTTATATATATGGGAGAGATTCTTAAAAATATTGTAAGTTGTCGACAACACAGTTGCCTTCAAATTGCTCATATTATATGACAATCTAGATCT